ATACTTAAATTCTAACAAGAATCACTTATACTAATCATGCTTTGCTAATAACATGATTCAATCATCAAATACAAGCATGAATTACCTCCTTCAAGGACTTGAAATTTGAAAGACTTGATATGAACTTGAATATGAACTTGAATATCTTGAAAATCCTTTACTCCAAAATACTTCTCCTCACTTAAACTTTCAATATAACTTTGATACTTTACTTTGCTGTAAAAATCTGATTTTTGAAGCCTCTATTTATAGCCAAAACTTTGGAATAAAATATTTGGAGTGAAGAAATTAACAAATTAAACAATTTAACCTTGTAAAAATTAATCACTTAAACAAGTCCTTACCAAACATTTCAAATTTTTAGCTAAGCATATTTAATTGCTCAAAATACACTTTAGTTGGCATCAAACTCGAATCATAAAAATCTGAAATTTTGTCGGTCACACGACCAGTGTCACTAGTCACACGACCCGTGTGACGCCACACGACCCGTTTCACTTTAGTCACATGACCCGTGTGAACTCACACGACCCGTGTCACTTAAGTCACACGACCAGTGTGAAAAAACGAAGCTAAACTTGAATAGTGCCTTGAGCCACACGACCCGTGTGGCTTGTCACACGACCAGTGTGACTTCACACGACCAGTGTGGCTACCCACACGACCCGTGTGACTTGAAAACTTCAAAATTTTAACTTTTTAAGCCTCAAAATAACTCAATCTTGGAAATAAACTGATACTTATTACTAATAACTAAATGGGATATTACACGATTCATTTTATATCTCATGTGGGAGCCAATAATAGAAAGATAAAATGGGAAACAAAGGCAAATAAAAGGAGATTGGCTTACTTAAGTTTTTGCAGGTCCAATCATTAAAGGAATGAGGTGTTATTTTGTAAAAGTTAGGCCACCTCAAAAAGGATTGCCCGAAATAAAACCTTGATTCGAAAAGAAAGATATACATTAATTTTTGTATGTTATGAATCAGATTTATTAAAGATTCCCAATAATATGTGGCTATAATCAAATTCTGCTCTCTTATGGCATCAAATATTAGGTCACATATCTGATGAAAAGTTACTGAAAATGGAGAACCATGAAACCATTTCTCATTTTGATTTTAGTGATCAAAACGTATGTGTAGAATGAATTAAAGAAAAGCAAACTAGACATGCATTAAAGAGATTTGCCAAGAGAAGCACTAAAATCTTCTAACTTATATACACTAATTTCTATGGTCTATTCAACGTACCTTCATGAGGTGATGTAAAGTATTTAATCACCATTACAAATGATTTCTCACATTACAGTTATATTTATCTACTACATGAAATGACTCAATCATTGGACTATCAAAATATATACATTGATGAGATGAAAAAGGTAGTTCAATAAATAAATAAAAGTTGTGAGATCTCAACTAGAGTGGTTAACGTTATTGTAAGTTCAATGAAAGCGGATAATATCCTAGTCCATTTGTAAAAGATTCTTGAGATTTGAATATTTGTGTGCAATACACTGTAATTGAGAATTCTCAACGTAATGGTGTTGATGAGACGATAAACCGTACTTAAAAAGATATGGTTAGAAATATGTTAAGTAATTCAACATTAATGTTTTCTATGTGGATGCATGCATTAAATACTGTTGCATATTTGCCAAACCGGGTTCTTAGTAAAGTAGTTCATAAAATACCTAATGAACTATGAAAGGTAGGAAACCTAGTTTGAGGCATCTTCATATGGGGGGTGTCAAGCAGAAGTAAAGGTATATATAATCCACATGAAAAGATACTTAAGCCTAGGACAACCAGTGGTTATTCATTGGCTATCCAGAAAGTTCTAAAGGATATAAGTTTTATGGCCCTAACCATAGTACAAGAATAGTTGATTGCAGAAATGCTTGATTCATTGAAAATGATCAAATCGGTGGGAGCTTGGAACCGCAAAGTTTGGATGTCAAATAAACTCGGGTTGAACAGTCCGAACTCGAGAGTCCATCAATGGATGAATAACGAAATGATCCAAACTCACATGATAATGAATCATCACAAGCAATCAAGAAATTATAGAACAACCTTTGGTTGATGAATCACAAGCCATGAAAAGTGAAAATTCTTAAAAAGTTGATCAATGCCATGAAAGAATAATTAAAGTTAAAGGATGACAATAAAGTTTGAAATTAAGTAGAATTACCTGAAGGGTATAAAAGAGTTGTGTGTAAATTGTTTTTCAAAACCTAACACAAACTCTAAAGGTAATATCAAAAGATATAAAGTTAAACTTGTTTATAAAAGTTACACCCAAAAGGAAGGCATTGACTACAAGGAAACATTCTCTCCCGTTTCTAAAAAGATTCCTTGAGAATTGTAATGGTAATGGTGGCTCTGTATGATTTGAGTTTTATCAAATGGACATAAAGATCACCTTCTAAATGATAAACTTAAAAGGAGATCTACATGAACTATTTAAAAGTTTTGAGACCACAAGAAATGAAACGTTAGTGTGTAAGTTGAATAGATCTATATATTGACTAAAACAAGTCTCTCGTTAATGGTATCTTAAGTTTAATGATATCATCACTGCTTATGGTTTTGTAGAGAATACCGTAAATTGGTGTATCTACATTAAGGTCAGTGGGAGTAGATTTGTTATTTTAGTTCCGTATGTCGATGACATATTTATAGTTGCTAATAATGCGGACATGTTGCACGAAGTGAAGTATTATCTCTCTGAAAGTTATAAAATAAAGGATATGGATGAAACGTCCTTGGTAAATGGAATAATAATATTCTGGAATAGATCACAGGGACTAAAATATTATCCCATAAAAGTTACAATTCGAGAGTTTTGAGATAATTAGAATGAATGGTTGTTTCATATAATTTCAATTCATAAAAGGGACACATTTAGTCTATAATAAGTGTCCGAAAGGTGAAATGGAATGACAAGTGATGGAGAAAATTCCTTAGATATAAACGATTAGGAGCCTTAAAGGAAACGAACCTGTACTAGGTTTGATTACATATTTGTTGTTGGTATGTTAAACAAATATAAAAGTAATCCCTAAATGATTATTTAAATGCTGCAATAAAATTTCTAAGGTATTTACAAGGCATTAAAGAACGCATGCTAACTTAAAGAAGATCCAAATTATTTGTTATAATTGGATACTCGGATTCAGACTTTTGCTCATAATGTCTAAAGAAGCAAGATTATGGAAAAGTGGAACAAAGTTCATCATCGTGACTTCCACGATTAAGTTTGAGTTTGTGGTATGCTTTGAGGCCACAAGTCAAAATTTAGGGCTACGATGCTTTATCTTAGGACTTGGAAATATCGACATCTTGTCCAAGCCGCTAAGAATTTTTGTAGTTTTGTAGAAATATTATTTCAAGGAATGACAAGTATTCAAAGGGTGTGAATCACATAAAATTTAAATACTTGGTCGCAAAAGTAGAAGTGAAGAAATAAAGTGTCATTTGTGCATTTTAGTACTAATTTCGTGAAAGTGGATCCATTAAAGGGTTATTCCCTATAGCCTTTTCAAGGCATATAAAGAAAATTGGTTTTAACGAATGGGGCCTTGTTAGACTGATCGGTACTGAATGGAATTGCTCAATTAATGGTTTTGACACTTATTGAATTCGATTAATGATATTTTATTCTTCACATGTAATACCATCATTATGGATATTTAATTTTATAGTATATACATAAAAGTTGGATGGCTTACGGCTATGGTACGAACAGTTTGTTCCATAATAAAGTAAAGTTGAATTAGAAATGGTTGTGGGGATCATGTCGCTCAAAGACTTGTGACCGCCATGACTCGGTTAATTTCTACTTTGATTTTAAACTTATAGATATATGTATTTAATCATAAGTTTGATGAAAGGTGCGCGCTTAAAGTAGTTATTTGGGTTTCAACACTTATATGGTCCAAGTGGGAGAATGTAATAATATTTTATATTATTCTATTATTGTGGACCATATAATTAGTTGAACCTAATTGAATTAATAGTCAAACTTAATTAATGTGAATATATATTTAATGGATTATTAATGTTCTATTATTAAAGAGTCCAATTTGTGATGTTTGACTTGGACAGTAAGTTAGGTTAGAACATGGGGAATGTTAGTATGATTAGGATTGTAGGTCTTCTCCTATATATACTACATGCCCCTCTTTCACATCATATACGAAATAAAGTTCTCAACATCAAGGGCTTTATGAAAAGACGAGAGACGCGGGAGAGAAAAACAATTTATAGGCAAAGACGTATACATTGTTGGAGATTACAAGACGAATCCAGCATTGAAGTTTACGAGAAAGATGATCGTAGATCAACATCATAAATGAACAGGGAAGGACTTTAAACTGGATTCTTGTAAGTTGTATGTGCAATTTAATTTATGCAAAGATCCATATTCTATGAATTGATAGAATTACATGCTTAGGGTTTATTCAATTCCGCCTAATAGTTATGGATATACCCGTTAAATTTCTTACATCCATAAGCCGAGTCATCTGATAACTCCATAGCAAACCTGTGTAAATTTCATTGTAAAAAGTCATTGTACACATAGCATTGCCCAATTTGTAAATTTAAATAATGTAAATAACTATACATCACTCCAATAATTCCATATTTTTCACGAATGAAAATTAAAGATATCAATTCTTACTAAGTAAAGATATTGCAGAAATCTATTCCATTTTTCAACTTTTAAATTATGAGATTCTGTAACCAAATAGCTTTATATATTTACCATAATTAGATAACAATATTTGGAATTACCCAATCATTGACTTCCTATAATGAACGAAATTTGCCAATCCCATTCTGATTAGGAAAAAAATTGTTAGACAGAAATTTTAGTGATGTGCAAAAATGAGAAAACTATAACCATATAATGTAATGTACTAACAAAACCAAGAACCACTCATCACTTTCTTGTTCTGCATAAGCAAGAGAAAAAAACCAGAAAAAGAAATGGATCGTTCGACCGAAAAATTGGGTACAATCGGCCCGCTGACCGGTCAAGGCTACCGTACTTGGTCGAAAAAGATGAAGAGAGTGCTGATGTCAAAAGGGCTGTGGCCCATTGTCGAAAGAGGCTACAAAAAGCTCCAAAACGAGTGGCTCGACTCCCGAGAAACCGAAAAACTGAACAAACTCATGAAGAACGATTCGAATGCTCTGAGCCTCATTCGGCAGTCTCTCGCGCCCCAAATTTTGACGCTGGTTGTTGATGCCGACACAGCCAAGGAAACCTGGGACAAACTCCGTGACCTGTTTAGGAAAAAGGCCAAAGCCGAGGTACTTTTGAAAATTGTCACTTTTAATAATGTCCTATTGTGAGGTTCATGTTTGAAAGTTATTGTTACTATTATTAGTTACTAAATTTACCTCTTTTCACCGGTGAATCCGTGAAACATGCAAAGCCCTCCGGTGAATCCTTCGCCGGAGAGGACGCTAATGGAACGCCTCTTTCGGGAGATAAACCGTTCTTCGACCTTTGTCTCGTCAAATCGGCAGTTCAACCTACTTGCCGTCTGGTAATTAATTAGTGGGTGATTTTTTATGATTTGGTTCACTATAATGGTGATTGGACATTATTTATTTATTTATTTATTTACCTTTTTGGCGATATCAGACCTTTCCGAACGATGTGGGTCAAATGTTGCCTACGAGCTGTATCACGTCAAATGTGAAGTGTTTGGGGAAGGTCTATAAGATAAACTTCAATGGGGATGGGAGGCAAAAATGTTTGAGATCTGGATGGAGGCAGGTGGTGACTGAACATGGTCTGTCGGAGGGCGATTTTGTCGTGTTTGAAATAGTCGAGTGCAGCAGTTTGCGGCTCGACATCAACCTTCAGGTGCTGAGGAACATCATTCCAACAGAATTGGAGGACGAGATTCGAAGGAGGGAGGCTCAGGTTGTTGAACTCGATTGATGATAATATTAGCTTTGGAGATTATTCAATCTATAACATATATTGTTGGTGTGTGTGTGCTTGTGTGTGGATTTATTGGCTTGTGGCTTGTTAATTTATTTTTTTGTGTTCATTATTCGTAGTTTATTTTATTAATTAATAACAATGTAAGTCAATATATCTCAAAACCGCCATACAGTTTAAAATCTCAACCGCCCTTTTAACGGTTGTAAACTGCCATTTATAACTAAGCAGTCCCCACATTTTGTGAACACAAAAATCTGTCAGAAATATTGTTCAAATCCCGCAACCATTAATCTGGCCCTTGCCACCAACCCCACCACCGATCGGCTGCGGCGCTTGGCCACCAAGCGCCCGCCGCCAACAAATTATTTAACAAATAAACAAACACGTACGAAGAATGACGACTGACACAAATTTCGACGTGTTTACATTTACCGAAAATCCTTCGCTCGTCCCATCAAATGTAGCAGTGTCTTCTACTGACGAGCAATACTATTTGGATTACTCGAACCACGAACATCAAGATCAGAATCTGAATGGTTTTATGGACTCTGAGGATCCATTTTGGGATCATACGATTTGGGCCTTGTGCAATGAGCCTGCAAACTCTGCTCCGACCAACTTGCTCGGAGAAGGCCCAAGCGGCAATAATGACAATCCTAATTTTGATACTACACTTTTGGGAGATAATATTCCAATGCCGCTCTCGGTTTTTCAAGTTCCGTCGCCTCAATATAAATGCACTTGCTGTCAAATACTCAGAGAGATTACTCATTCTAATGGCAAGAGGAAATAAAATTGCAATTAAATTTTGTCCTGTTTGTTTTAAGTACAAACACATAACTAGTTACGATATTGTCTTGCTTCTGTAGGCGTGAACGTGAAGCGGCTCGAGATTCATGGGAGATTTGGAGTGATCATGCACGCGGTTCTCGGCGTATATGATTTAGATTCATCGTTACAGTGCCAGGACACACAAATGTTTGAGTAAATCACACTTTTATGTTTTTTTCCCTTTTTTTTTTATTTCAAAGTATTTATTGTATTCATTAATCTTAAACACTAAATATATTTATTCAGAGTGGCAAACAAAAAAAAAAAAAAAAAAAGAAAGAAAGAAAGAAAGAAATAAATGCATGAAGTTTCAGTAGTCTCAAGGTTTTAGTTACGTTTGTGGCCTCGTCTAATAGCTTTCAAAACGAGAGCACGCGAATGGTGAAGAAGTTCATGGTACAATACTTTGAGGCTTGCAAACAAGAGGGCTACAACATGGTACAAGATCCTCTCTCGCCGTTTTATGAAGCCCTTTGCGTTGGTCTGAACGAATCTGACAATCCAGATGATTTTCTTCAGTCTTCGCCGGATAGTGAAGGTTAGTTGTATATGATATTTCAGTTCTCTAACAGACTAATATATGTGGGTTTTCGTATTGTGGACTTCTCTGTAATTTTATCATGTGTGTAATTTGATATTCGGCTATCTCAGGCGATGATCAAAATTGCCCCCAGGAACCTTTACGAGAGCCCGAAGGTGAAAGCAATCAAATGGGGTCTACGAAAATACCCCTCTCGATGCAGGTAACTTATGTGAATTTCGGCTATTGATTGATAGACTGAAATCCCATTACAATATTTTGACTTCATACCGTGTTTTTCTCTTTTCTGGAAAAATCGGGATTGAAATCCTAGAAAACTCAACTTTAGTTAATGTAAAGCGTTCATATCTTCGTACGGAAACATTTCTGTTTTTCTGTTTTTTGTTGGTCACATGTGTATGGCTAAAAGATTTTGCTTTTTGAAGAGGGAAAGAACTCGAAATTTGAGGATGAAGGACTTTGTGCAGTACTCTGATCTTCCTATAGAATTTGCTGCTCGAAAGATGAATCTGTGCCCGACGGTCGTGAAGAAAATATGCCGCAAGAACGGTGTGGAGAGATGGCCTTACAGAAAGGTTTGTTCTTCTCTGCAATTATTTATATTCACCTACAAAATTCTTTTTTTTTTTTTTTTGTTTTTTCAACTGATGTGCTCGACCGATGTTCGTCTATTTTCGTAAGTGCAGATAAAAAGCTTAAGGAGAAAATTATCCAAGAAGAAGAAGATCTTGGATTCAACAAGTGATGCTAAGGAAAGAGCTCAGGCTCTGAAGGATATACAAGAGCATGAGGGGGAACTTGCTGAGATTTATATACCATTTAATAAGTAGTATTACTGTTCACTTAGACTCAAGTTGTGTAAGAATATTCCTATTGTAATAGAAGCTTTGTAAAATTTAAGTTATTTTACATGTTTACTATATGTATTAAAAACTTTTGCAAAAATACAACATTCAAAATAATACCATACATAAGCTATTCATAAACTAGATATAAACAAAAAAAACAATGTAATTGAAAATTAGTGACAAATATAAATAAAATTCTCTTAAAATTATGTGAGATAAATTATTAAACTTTTAAAAATAAAATAATGTAATAAATGAGATATTTGTAATTTTCAGCCGCCGTGGATGATGCTGAGGCCGCCGTCCTTGTCTCCCCCGTTCGAGCATTTTCAGTTTGGATCCGACCTAGCGGCCGGTTCTTCTTGTGTTTGGGGTGGGTGGCCGATTCTTCTAGTGTTTGGGGGTGAGTGGTTAAAGGGTTGCGGCCACTGAGTGTTGATTGAAGGTGATTGTTTGCATGGAAGCCTAAATCGAGGCCGAGAGTCTCGGATATGGCTAGCTATAGCCGATTTAGAGTGTGGAGTTTCTGGACTGGTATTTTTTATTTTGATGTGATCGGGCTCTTTTTTGTGGCTTATCTTTAACTTGTTGTATTGGGTGGTTGTAGTATAGGTGTTGTTAGGCGGTGTCTGAAGAGAGTTTTATTGTATTATCTAAGTATATGTGGTAATTGTTTTGTTTGTTTTTTTTCTTTTTTTAAGTTTTTCACAAAATGTATGCTATATTAACGTATATCAAATTTGGTATACTAATTTGTCAAAAATTAAAAGAAAGTTACATTGATCACAAGAGCCATGATAAAAACCGAATTATTTGAATTTATCATGAGTTGGATGCAGACCGATCACAGACTGGATGCAATCCGAATTAAAGAAACTTAAGGTAGTGTTTGGTTTGGGGGAAAGGAGGTGAGGGATTTTTTTATATTTCCCTTGTTTGGTTGAGAAATTAAGATAGGAGGGGAGGAAAAATTTTAAGTTAGAATTTTCTCCCTCTCCATTTTTGCTCCCCTCCAAAAATGGGGGAATTTGGAGGGGGGAAATTTTAAGTAATACATTTACTTTTAGCCCTTAATTTTATATAATATTTTAATTTTTATTTTTAACATCATTAAGGATATATTTGTTATTTTAACATTATTTTTCTTCCCCTCTCATTTCCTTACCAAACAAGATTTACCATTTTCCCTCCACTCACCTCCTACAAGATCCCTCCAAACAAGGTAAAATTTTACCTCCCTTCCCCTCCCTTCACCTTCCTTCCATTAAAATCCCTCACCTCCCTTTCCCTTACTTGAACCAAACATACCCTAAGTGCCGAAACAAATTTTGGTTGGGCTGAAATTTTGTATGTAAAAACGCCCCCGTGGAGGCGAGTCGAGCATTGGCCTTATCGAGTAGGATTTTGTGATATACGTTAATATAGCATACATTTATATCAAATGATAGGTCGGTCATTCGACTGAAACAGGACGCTAGCGATCGTTGAATATTTTAAAGCAGTTATGAGCACAGCTATACCAAATGACTCGTTCAAGAGTTAATTCTGACATGTGAGAGAGACAATTAGAACCACCACAC